CATCTCTCAAATGACCAGTGATGTTGAACATTTTTTCATATGTTTATTTGCTGCTTTTACTCCTTTGTCTGAGAAATGTCTATTCATTTCAGATGCCCATTTTTGAATTGGGTCTTTATATTTGGGGGTCTGATTTATTTTTAGTTTTTTATATATTCTAGATAGAAGACCTTTGAAGAATGAGTGATAAAATTTTTTTTGCACATTGTAAGTTGTCTCTTAGCTCTGTTGGTGGCTTCTCTTGCAGTGCAGAAGCTTTTTAATAAGATGAGATTCAAGAGTTCTACCTAACTTGTCTTCCAGAATGTTTAGTTTTTCTGTTTTAATATTTAGATCTTTAATCCACTTTTATTTTAGTTTAGTGCATGCTGAAAGATAGGCGTCTAGTTTTAATCTTTGTCAAGTTGAACTCCATTTTTTCCAACACCATTTATTAAAGAGGTCTTTCTCCCAGTGAGGATGGTTGGCTCCTTTGTCAAAGATGAGGTAGCTGAGTTATGTCTAGACTTGTTTCTGCATCTTCTAATCTATTCCACTGATCCTCAAGTCTGTTTCTTTGCCAGTACCATGCTATTTTTAGCACAGGGGCTTTATAGGACAGTTTCAAGTTGGCAACTGTGATACCTTCTGTCATGTTTCTGTTACCTAGAATTGCTTTTGCTATTCTAGGTCTCTTCTGGTTCCAGATGAACTTTTGGATTGTTTTCTCTAGTTCTGTGAAATATGCTGTTGGGATTTCACTTGGGATTGCATTGAATCTGTATAGCAGTTTTGGAAGTATGGTCATTTTCACTATATTGTTTCTTCCTACCCAGGAACAGGGGATGTCTTTCCATTTTCTTGTTTGTTCTTCGATCTCTTTTTTAAGAGTGCTGTAGTTCTCAATGTGGAGGTCTCTTGCTTCCTTCGTTAGATTGATTCCTAGATATTTCATTTTTTCGGATGTTATTGTGAAAAGGATTGTATCCCTAATTTATCTTTCAATGAGTCTGTTATTTATGTACGAGAAGGTTATTGATTTTTGAGTGCTGACCTCGTATCCAGCTACCCTAACTGAATCTGTCAATAAAGTCTAGAAGTCTTTTGGCAGAGTTTTTTGGGTCTTCTATGTAGAGCACCATATCTGCAGCAAATAAGAACAGTTTCACTTCTTTCTTTCCTATCTTTATTTCTTTTATTTCTTTCTCATTTTTAATTGCTGTGGCTAATATTTCCAGAACTATATTGAACAGGAGTGGTGATAGTGGGCATCCTTGTCTTTTTCCTGATATTAGCGTAAAGGTTTTCAGTTTTTGACCACTTACTATGATGTTGGCTATTGGTTTTTCACAGATAGCCTTAATTAAGTTGATAGAAAGACCATCCATTCCAATTTTCTGCAGGGTTTTTTATCATCAATGCATGTTGAATTTTGTCAAATATTTTTTCTGGATCTATTGAGATGATCATATGGTTTTTGTCCTTGACTCTGTTGATATAGTGTATTACATTTATTGATTTACGTATGTTGAACCATCATTGGATCCCTGGGATAAATCCAGTTTGGTCAGGGTATATGATCTTGACCCTGTGTATTTTGTTTGCCGGAATCTTATTGAGTATTTTTGCATCTATGTTCATTAGGGAGATTGGCCTGTACTTCTCTTTTTTGGTTGGATTTTTCCCTAGTTTTGGAATCAAAGTAATACTTGCTTCAGGAATCAGTTTGGAAGTATTGCTTCCCTTTCAATTTCATTGAAAAGTTTAAAGAGTAGTGGCAATAGTTCTTTTCTCTAAACGTTTTGTAGAATTCAGCAATGAAGCCATCAGGACCTGGGCTTTTCTTTCTTGGTAAATTTTTTATTACATTTTCACTTTCACTGATTGTAATTAGGGTGCTTAGAATTTTCATATCTTCTTTGTTCAACTTCAGTAATTCATATGTATCTAGAAATCTGTCCATTTCTTCTGTACTTTCCATTTTATTAGAGTACAGGTTTTTGAAGTAGGTATTGATAATCCTCTGGATTTCTGCTGGATCCATTGTAATTTCATCATTTTCATTCCTAATTGCATGGATTTGAACCTTTCCTTTCTTTTATTTTTGATAAGGATGGCTAAGGGTTTATCAACTTTATTTATTCTTTCAAAAAACAAATCTTTAATTCGTTTTTTTTTTTTTGTATTATT